TATGGCACAAACCAGCAGTGGTAATTCCAGTGGTAATCGGTACACTTGGTGCTATTACAAAAGCACTGGAATTACATTTAAAACAGTTAAAAATTGACAAAGTCACCCTCAGTCAAATGCAAAAAGCCGCACTGCTTGGATCTGCACGCATTATTACAAAAATACATTACGACGTCCTAGGCCCTTGAGTGGGGCACAACTAGTAATCAATGCCAAATCTGGCGAAACAACCGGCCGCTGTGATACAATTATATAATAATTCCTACTACCAGCAGGAAGGTAGGTCTCTTTCCTCTGTCCCATTCCTGATCCTCCTTCCTACCACCAACAGGAAGGTAGGTCTCTTTCCTCCCCCCCCCCCATTCCTGATCCTCCTTCCTACCAGCAACAGGAAGGTAGGGGCTTTCCTCCCGCGCCCATTCCTGATCCTTCCTTCCTACCACCAACAGGAAGGTAGGTCTCTTCCCCCCCCCCATTCCTGATCCTCTTTCCTACCACCAACAGGAAGGTAGGGGTCTTTCCTCACCCGCCCATTCCTGATCCTCCTTCCTACCACCAACAGGTCTCTACTATTCTCTACTATTCTAATTAATAACAGAATTCTTGCCATTCTGCATCAGTTTCCTTACATGCACCTCTTATGTTAAGTATTGATTTGCTTCAAATCCATAATCTAAATATGTCCTAGGACAGTGATGGCTAACCTTTTTGGTGCCGAGGGCCAAAGCGTGGGTGCATGTGTGCATATGCAACCCCAAAATGCAATGAGTGCTCCCTCCACATGTGCTCCACATGCATGCACAAACATCTCCTGTGCCTGTGCCCGGCCCCTCGCCCATTTTTGGCTTCCAGGTTGGTGCAGGAGGCCTTCCAGGCTCAAAATGGGGTGTTGGGTGCACACACGCAAAGCCCCAAAATGCGCCCCCTGTGCATGCACAGCAAAGACCTGAAAACTAGCTGGCTGGCTGGAGGCATGCACACATGCAGAGTGAAGCCGGGCTGAGGCGACGGCTGGCATGCCTGCAGAGAGGGATCTGCCTGCCACCTGTGGCACAGGTGCCATAGGTTTGCCATCAAGGTCCTAGGAGAAATGATGAATTCTTTTCCCTCTCAAGGATGTTAGCAGCGCCCCCTGCAAACTTCCCACTCTCATCATTCTTTCTTGAACGCTATACTTTCTGTATTCCCCTCCTTGCCAGAAAAATATGCAAATATGTTTGGGGAAGGAGGAAGCAATCTGATAAGGAGGTACAGTACATTGCTTCATCACTGATCATATAACATCAACTTGAAGCCAGAAATATAAATCTCAGGTAAGTGGAATATTTCATGTTTACTAACAATTAACAATGCTGAAGAGATTAAAAAACGCTTCTTGGTTCTGCAAAATCTCCAGACTCACATTTTTATACACAAGATAATTCCTTGAGGACTGTTCATGACCATAGGCTCTAAAATATGAACTATGAGGCAAGTATAATGTTTTAATTACTAAAAAAAATGTATCTTTAAAACAGCTAAAATATTACCATAATTTGAACTGGGTGCTGTATATTTGGTACTCGACTTGCGAATTATATTTTCATGGATCTGATGCCATTCATTCTCATTGTTGCACCTGAAAAGTAGAGTCAATGTTATTTGCCACTGTCAATGAAATTAAATATGCACATAATTACAGAGATGAAAACAAACTATTTACAACTGTAATGTGCAGCATTATAGAACAGAATCTTATATAATTCAGATTAAATGAATGTCTTAAGGTGATGCATTGTAATAAGAAGTTTTGCTTTCTTTTAAAATTTCTATTGTATATTTGAAATCCATTAGCAGCTTCTCGATATATTTCCATGCCTAATGTTATCTTTCTAATATATCTATTACATATGATCTATGTAATTATACTATTTAAGAAAATTGTGTTCTTTATATATATTATTCTTCCTATTTGAGAACAAAAAATGGTATCAGAGCTTAAAATTTATGGATCATTATGAAAGTTGAAATTATAAATAAATAAAGGAATAGTTAGTTAGTTATTCATTCAATTAATGATGACAATTGAAATAAAAAATTAAACTACTATATAAGGAACTTATGTACACAGAGACAGACATACAGCATGTGTGTGTGTGTTATGTTATTGTAGCATGTTTGAGTCTATAGGATAAAAGATTGGAGTTCTCAACCTTCCTGTCAATCAAATCTTTATGGGAACAACATTCCAGAGGGTGGTTGCTGTGACAGAAAAGGCTCTCCTTTGCAGTTCCATCAGATGGTATTCCTTTGTAAATGAAATCTGAAGCATGCCTCTTCTGCCAGACCCAATGGCAGACCGACATCTCACTTAAGAAATAAAGCTGAAATATCCACCTCTTCCTCTCATCTGCCATGGTTTAAAAATCTATTTTTTCTTTCCTAGAACATGACAATTTCTTTACATCTAGCTCCATATCCTGCCTTCTGTGTGGTAGCACTTATTGCAATCATCTACCTTTTAGGGAGTGCTTTATATGGCATTCTTTCTGCAGCCATGGTATGTAAGAGAAACAGGGTGCCCACATGTTCTGTCAAATTAAAGAGTAAAAAAAATGAGACAAAATTAAATCTATAGTGTTATCTTCTGGAATTGAAGTCTGGGACTAGAAAAATCAGCCTTTCCTTTCCTCTTTTTCAGAGGATCTTACAAAATAGAAATACAAGCAATCGACACTTAAGAACCACAAATGGCACAGGCAACTCTGCCACTAAACAATGAGGTCATCATACAAGACAACAGGTGACCAGGACAGACTTACAGCCTCACTTCCACTATAACTGTTTAAAAAAATCATCTGCAGTTGAGGTGAGCTTTCACGTGACCAGGAATTTTACTGACAGTTTCTCCATTGACTCAAGCCAATTGTGAAGCAAACAAATGGCAATCACATGAACACACATGCTGTGACATTCACAGATACTCACCGGTTGCGAACACCCAAATCTTGATCATTTAACCATGGGGGTTATGCAACAGATGTTCAAGAATTGGACATAACATTATTTTTTCAGCACAGTTGTGATTGAATGGTTACTAAATAGGGCAGTTGTTAGGACTACTGTAAAATCTTGCTTTTAAAGCAAATATATATATATAT